CAGTGAATGTGTCCCCTTCTCCATCCCTTTTCCTGCAGCATCGGTATCATCTATGGTTTTGCGGCAAATCAGTACATGAGGACTCACGTGGAAGAGACTCGGAAATTGTCAGACAGTAACTTCAACGACCTGAGAACTCTCCTGAATGCGGTGCCAGGGGTAAGGACCACAACCTGTATTTCCCCCGACACGTTGTGTCTGAGGCCTTTTGGAGTTCTTGTGTGTTTGGAATCACATTTGAACCTGCTGAAATCCAGGTGTTGTCTTTTAGTTTTGCAGATAAAGGAATAAAGGGCTAGTAAGTGATTTTTTTTTTTCCCCAAGAGTACAAAGGCTCATTTCAGAATTAGTGCTCTTATTTCTGGAGAAGGAAATGGCAACCCACTCCAGTATTCTTGCCTGGAGAATCCTGTGGACAGAAGAGCCTAGTGGGCTGCCGTCTATGGGGTCGCACAGAGTCAGACATGACTGAAGCGACTTAGCATGCATCCTCTTATTTCATTTCACTTTAGTTTTTCTCTTTATTAAGGTATAACATAATACTTATTATAGAAGTGCTTAACCATTTTAAAGATCTCATGATTTCTTTAAAAAACAATATCTCTCGTGTCACTGTCCTTTCTTCTTGGCAATATAATTGACTCCACATCGTTTGCTTGAAATTGCTCTGGTAATGAAACCTGTTTTATGAACCCTGATTTGCTAATATTTGTATGTGTGTGCGTTCTCATTGCTCAGTTGTGTCCGACTCTTTGTGACCTCATGGACTGTAGCCTGCCAGGCTTCTCTGTCCATGGGATTTCCCAGGCAAGGATACTGGAGTGCGTTGCTATTTCCTTCTCCAGGGGATCTTCCCATCTCAGGGATTGAACCCTCGTCTCTTGCCTTGGCAGGTGGATTCTTTACCACTGAGCCACCTGGGAGTCCTGCCTAATTTTCAGATGTTAAATCTCTTTTTATTGTGGCCTGGGACCTCAAGAGGAGGTTCCATGTAACCTTTTTTTTTTTTCTTTTTAAAGCAAATTGACTATATACTGGACCAGTTTACCCACACTAAGGAGAAAGCATTTGACGATCTGGATAGTGAGTAACATTGAACGTTGTCTCAAATCTGGTTGTTTGTCTTGGCTCGAAGATGCTGTGGTCATCTCCCATAAAACATAGAAATGAAGTATGCCGTTTCTGCAATTTCTGCGTGAACACATGGGAGAAACAACCGTAATTCCCTGGTGTTACTGACAGTGCGTCGTTGGCGACTCAGACACTAAAACCTTGCATTATTGTGAAAACGTTGCTTTCCTGCAGCCACGGCGCTTCTGCTTCACTCCCCTCGTGAGAGGAGAAGTGGGTCTCTGTCAGGTCTGCTGCTAAAGCCATAGCGGGACCCCGAGGAGCCGTGGCTTCTGGAAGAGAGGGGCGGGCAGTGTGGTTCCCCGAGCGCTCAGCTGTTAGCAGCCAGGGGCTCTTTTGCCCTCAAGACATCAAGTAACACCTGGAGGCAATCTCGATGTCCTGATCGGGTCCCATTCATTGGTAGAGGCCAGGGACGTGGCCATGAGTCCTACAAGGCAGCCAACAACAAAGAAGGATCCGGCTCCAAGTGTCGCTAGAGCCGGGATTCAGTGACCCTGGCCCAGCTGGAAATGGGGGTGGGACGGGGCAGCCAGGGATCGAGTGGAGAAGGCACACAGGGTCCCGGGGCGAAGAAACACCAAGTCTGTGCTAAGTCTTCCGAGGGGCGCAGCCGGCGTGGGCACGTTGACGTGTGCGGAGAAATCGCCACGTGACAGTCTCTGCCCAAGTGGGCTGTGGGGTGCAAAGTGGGGTTTTGTGGCGGGAGAGACTAAACCAGGCCAGGGCACCCTGCCCTGGGACCTAGAGGTCAGAGGCAAAGAGAGAAAGAGTCCATCCTCAACGTCCCTTATGCTTCTTGGGATTTAGATATTAACTCATTGCTGGGAGGCAGCATTTATGAGCGTCTCAGACCCAAAGTGCTCCCTGTGCTGAAGGACATCAAGGCCTTGGCAGAAGGTAAGCGGTGCGGCCCCAGGACCCAGACGGCGTCCACCTGTCCCGCCGCCACTGAGGCAACTCAGCTGCCCCCCCCCCCCTTCCTCCCTGTCTTCTCCCTCCTTCCCCCCTTCCTTCCACACCTGGCCCCACTCTCTTTCCAGTGTCCTCTGCCAGCACCCTGCTTTCCATTGCAGCCGTGAACCCCAGTGTTCACTCCGCTGTGAGTCCCTGAAGGTGTCGTCCTCCTCCAGACCGTGAGCTGCATGTGCTCCTTCTGCCCGAAATGCCACAGACCCTCCCTCATCTAATAGATACGTGTATACACACTCTGTGTGTGCCAGTCACTCGGTTCTTCGTCTAATGTCTGTCTGTCTGCCTATCTAAACTCTGTGTGTGTCTTAGTCACTCAGCTGTGTCCAGCTCTTTGTGACCCTGTGGACTGTAGCCCACCAGTCTGCTCTGTTCATGGAATTCTCCAGGTTAGAAACGAGTGGACAGCCATTCCCTTCTCCAGGGGATCTTCCCAACCCAGGGATTGAACCCAGGTCTCCTGCCTTGCAGGCGGATTCTTTACCATCTGAACCACCACGGAAACCCTGTATTACTTCTGTCTAGAGACAACTGGGTTCCTAGTCTGTGTATTTAACCCTTTTAAGGATTGAAGTTTAAAACAGCAAGGCCTACCTTTAGAATATCTAAAGAAAGCTAAGCACTGAAGAAGTGATGCTTTTGAACTGTGGTGTTGGAGAAGCCTCTTGAGAGTCCCTTGGACTGAAAGAAGAACCAACCAGTCCATCCTAAAGGAAATAAGTCCTCAATATTCACTGGAAGGTCTGATGCTGAAGCTGAAACTCCAATACTTTGGCCACCTTATGCGAAGAACTGACTCATTTGAAAAGACCCTGATGCTGGGAAAGATTGAGGGCAGGAGGAGAAGAGGATGACAGAGGATGAGATGGTTGGATGGCATCACCGGCTCTATGGACATGTGTTTGAGTAAACTCCGGGAGTTGGTGATGGACAGGGAAGCCTGGCATTCTGCAGTCCATGGGGTCACAAAGAGTCAGACATGACAGAGTGACTGACCTGAACTGATCTTTAGATCAATTAGAATGAGTCTTACCCCCATGATTAAATCATCACCGATCACAGCAGAGGCTCAGTGGTATCTGAATAAAGGAAGGCGGATGGAGGAGGAAAAAAGAAAACAGCAACAAAAAAGGTTTCCTGCTTTTGTCCTTCCTGAGGTATTGTTACGGTATCCCAGTTGTCCAGCATTTCACAATGAATCTGCTTAAACTAGTGGAAATAGATCTTCATTTAATGGTTATTGTTAGGGTATACCAGTTGTCCAGCATTTCACAATGAATCTGCTTAAACTAGTGGAAATAGACCTTCATTTAATGGTTAATCTTGGTTCTATCCATGAACCATAATTGTGAGGGAAGGAGGTGGGTTGAGGACGACCCCTTTCTTCCCCAGACAGTGAGGAACTGAGGCTTCCCGCCAACCAGGTCATTGACTGAGGAAGCTGATGGACCAGCCCTGGTCAGTCCTCGGATGAATGCAGTCCCAGCTTCCAGCTTGACTGCAAGACCCGGGAGATCCTGAGCCCAACCATTCAGCTAAGCCAATCCCAGGTTTTTGGCTCTCACATACTGTATGAGATAATAAATCTCTGTAGTTTTAAACTGCTGACTTTCAGAATAATATTGCCTGCAGCAATAGGTAATTAATACAGTGGACAACCATTAGTTTCCTCTCCAGGCTTCAACACATGAGCAAGGAGAAGTAAAAGCTTCTGATTTCCTAGTCAATATATACTGCGCTATTTGTGCTTCCTTATCAGACTATAAAACTCCTTTATTTTAAGGCAGCAGATATTGTATAGACCATTGGATTAATACATATCTTTTGGGGGGGGGGAGAGGAAAGTATCATGTTAAATGCACTATTGATTAAACATACATCCTCATTTCATGAAAATTAAAATGTAAAAAAAGTAAAAGGAGCTGGTGAATCAAGGAAATATGGTAATCTTTAACAACTGTAAGAGGCCTGCTATGGAGCCAAAAAATAATGAGTGAAAGAAAAAAATGCACAAAAATGAGATCAGAGTGTTTTAGATAAAGAGCTCACTGTCCAAGGAGTGTAACCTCATTCCTGTTAATTAGTACATGTTCTTACAACTGAGCGTAACCTCTTTCCTCCAGCCACCACATTTACGAATGAGCTGTTTGTGATTATGGCCAAGACGTGGCCCCAAAACCGCGTGTTATCATCTTTTATTGAAAATTAAATGGCATTAGTTATAAAATGGAAAAGACCTTGATCCTGGGAAAGATTGAGGGCAGGAGAAGGGGGTGGCAGAGGATGAGATGGTTGGATCGCATCACTGACTCGATGGACGTGAGTTTGAGCAAACTCTGAGAGATAGTGAGGGACAGGGAAGACTGGCGTGCTGCAGTCCATGGGGTCACGAAGAGACACGACGGAGCAACTGAACAACAACAATCAAATGACACCCTCCATAAGTAGAGTGTCAGGCTGGGGTATCAGAGTGTTAAAAAAGTGGGTTTGCAATGGAGTAACCTGTGTTTGTTGATTAAGCTCATTAACTAATAGTATGTAGCAGAGGGTCTCATAAATACCATCCTTTAAAGTAGTGATGAGTAGACTTGATTCTACCAGACAACACTGAATATGAAATGAAAATATTTCTGCCTTCTTCAGGGACAGTCAAGGCCCTGATGGAGATTCACTGTCTATATTTATGAGAGAAATCAGAGGCTGAAAGTGTAACTGGGGACTAGTGGAAATAGGATGGGAGTTTGGTCTGGTATGGTTTTTTTTTTCTTCCAAGCTCACAAATCCCTTTGAATTCTTTGCACAGACCACAGTTTACGAACAGTTCACTTGAGTGTTGGTCTGCCAAGGTCTCCTCCAGCTCCAGAGTTATGTGAACATAAGCACTGTGCAAAAGTGTACGAAGGATGCAGTGTGGTTGACACGTACTTTACTTTTTGCCTCGTCATTGTTTTTCACTCGCTCAGTCATGTCTGACTCTGGGACTCCATGGACTGCAGCACGCCAGGCTTCCCTGTCCATCACCAGCTCCCAAAACTTGCTCAAACTCATGTCCATTGGGTTGGTGGTGCTGTCTAACTACTTCATCCTCCATTGCCCCCTTCTCCTCCCACCCTCAATCTTTCCCAGCCTCAGGGTCTTTTCCAATGAGTCAGCCTCCTGGTTTGCCCAGTGTTTAACATTTGCCTTACAATTCTAGCTGGATTGAAATCAATTAAAACAGACATTATTTTTCTTTTCAGTGCTTCCTGTATTATTGTAATTTTACATATTTCTTAAAACCAGCTTATATGGTTAAATGTTAGCCTCTGGTGTTGCCAGTACTTAGGAAACTGCTTCACCAAGTTTTTTGCTAAAAATTCTTTGCAGCCTCATGTACCTGTTAGCCTTTGGAGAAAGCAGAAACCTGCAAATGGATTTCTGCAAATCATGTTTGAGCTGCAGGCCAGAACCTATAAAGGAAGTGTGCTATGAGCTGGTAAAAAGTTAATTAGTTAAAATGGAGAATCTAAAATATCTTTCCCCTGACTTCTGATACATAATATATGGGATCTTAGTCGGCTTGGAATGACTCCCAGAGTTATAACCCAGTAGACGTTTTATGAAATGCTTTGAAGCCTTTGACTTATTTCTAAGTCATTCTTGGGACATGACAGTATAGCCACCCATAAGCCAGGACGTCTACACATGGTCCCGAAATGGACTCAGGTTTTCCGGACCTTCAACTCATTTTATCATCCATCATTCTTTGTCATCATTTTTGTTCCTTTCTTGCCTTAAAATGACTCATCCTGAAGTCAAAGTGGAAAAGGCTATGGGAGGTAAACCGCAGAACATTAAAATGTGAAGTGTGTGTTGTGCGGTGTAAGTCATGTTTGGGGACGTTCTTTTGCACTCTCTTGTGTGTTTCTAGTTGCAACCATGCTCTTGCTCCCCGATGTCAGATATTTATTGAGCCTCTAATGTGAGCTGGGTACCAGCTCCATGCTTTGCTGCTAAACCTGGGAGGTAGGTAGAAAAGACGAGAGTCTGAGGCTCAGAGTGACTCTTTGATGAAGTCTCTATTATTATTATCTCAAATTACTGTTAAGATAGTAGTTCTTTTGCTACCTTGTTATAGCATCTCCGGCAAACTCTTTCACCTCTCGGGACCTTGTTTGCTCATCTGCAAATTAGGAGGTTGGTTGGGTCATCTCTTGGTTACGAGGAGAGTCTCTGATTCTAGATGTTGCTTCAGCAGGCTTACACTTAGGAGATGGCATTGCCCATGTCATCCAAGATGGCATCCGAGCCTAGGTCTGGTGACTTACTCTAAGACCTGGGGAGGCTTTCAGGATTGGATTGTCTGCCTCTTCATCCCAAATGGAAATCTCACCTTATTGGAATAGAAAATCTTGAGGTCTGCTTCAGACAGTCTTTTGTCTTAAATTTTAATCCAGTCCTGGAAGGTAGCTAGGAGAACTGGGATGAAACCGCAACACAAAAGCATTAAAGTGTGTGTGTTTGTGTGTGTGGTTTTAGAACCAAGTTTTATGTGGTTGCCAGAGATAATTGGGGGAACCAGCTTATAAGGGCATTCACACTTTTCCTGGGCTTCCCTTGTGGCTCAGTTGGTAAAGAATCTGCCTGCAATGTGGGAGACCTGGGTTCAATCCCTGGTTTGGGAAGATCCCCTGGAGAAGGGAAAGGCTGCCCACTCCAGTATTCTGGCCTGGAGAATTCCATGGACTGTATAGCCCATGGGCTCCCAAACAGTTGGACACAACTGAGCAACTTTCACATCACACTTTTCCTAGTAACACCCTGTTGTGACCTGATACTCCACCATCTGTTTTATGAGCCCAGAAGACAAAAAGCAGTGTCCTCTAAATTTCACATCTCTTATGCTGTGACTTTAAGTCGCTGGAGAAAGGAGTTTTATTTTGCTACCTGCCTAGTTATGCATATTGAGCACCAGAGAAATCAGAGAGCAAACAATCTATAGGGATCGCCGAGGATAAGAATGTGGCCTAGGCTCTGGAGGCTTCTAAAATAAAAGAGGCGGACTTGCTGCCTTTGAGGGATTTCAATCTGATCATTCTGATCCCCACATTTTGTGATAAACCTTGTGGTGGTCTTATCATTTTTCAGATGAGGAAGTTGCTTAAGAATATTCAGGTATCTGCTTCGGGTTACACAGAGAGTATCTATGTTGAAATCTGTACCTAGACTGGCTGAATCTAAATCTGGAATCTTTTCTCTCTCTCTCTCTCTTTTTTTTTTTTAACATTTTCCTTTTATTTATTTATTTATTTATTTTTAAATTAAACTTTTTACTTTATCTTGGGATATAGCCCATTAACAATGTGTGATAGGACTCCAGAGGGACTCCATCATACATACACATGTATCCGTTCTCCTCCAAACCCCACTCCCATCCAGGCTGCCACGTAACATTGAGCAGAGTTCGCTGTGCTACGAAGTAGGTCCCTGTTGGTTATCCGTTTTAAATATCGCAGTGTGTACCTGTCCATCTCACCTACATGTACCTGAGTGTCCCTTTCCCCTACCTTTCCCCTGCTGCTGCTAAGTCGCCTCAGTCGTGTCCGACTCTGCGCGACCCCGTGAACAGCAGCCCACCAGGCTCCTCTGTCCACAGGATTCTCTAGGCAAGAACACTGGAGTGGGTTGCCACTTCCTTCTCCTCCGTGCCCCCTCGGCAGCCTTAGATTCATTCTCTACGTCTGTGAGTCTGTTTCTGTTTTGTCAGCCAGTTCATTTGTATCGTGTCTTTTTAGATTTGGCTTTTAAGGGACCAAATCTGTGATCTCTTGCTGTGTCTACTTCCAGCTCTTTGAATATCCATCGCTAAGATCTGTCTGGGTGTCATCAGGTTTTCTGTGGATTAAAGCTGCCCGGGATTGGCGGTGTCTGGGCTGACCTCCTCAAGGCTGGGCAAGTCTAGGGTGGGGACACCTTCTCTTGTGGCTGCTGCTCCAACGCCAGCCACTTAATGCTGCGCCCATGAGTCCCAGTGCCACCCCTAGGTTGATATTCGCCCCTGTGTGTCTGAAAGAGCCCCCAGGTGGGGGAACTGAGCTGGCTGGAGTCGCTGGCAGAGGCAGACGGGGCCACAGTAGCCGTGGATTCCCCTGTCAGTCTGCCCATCACAGTGGGCTCTCCTGGCTGCCTTCCAGTGTCATTTTTGCAAGTTGATCTCAAGTTCCTTTAAGGTCCTTTTGTATATGGGAAGGGATTTTTTTTTCCCCACTGGTCAGCCCAGCGGGTGCCTCTATTCTGAAGCGGGCTGTGTTCCTAACAGACATGAAAACTAATAGAGCTACCCTGGTCCGACTGAACACTCTCTTAACGGACATGAAGCAGTCGTCTGCACATCTTCGCACCAGCCTGAGAGACATGAAAACGAGCATAGAGCAAACACTCACGGATCCCCAGTGCTCCTTTCCTGTGACAGCGACCACGTGCGCCAGCATCAGTCAGTCTCTGAGCGTCCTTGATGGCAGCGCCAATTTTGATCAGGTGAGAGGGCAGTCCTGCTTCAGGGCAGTGTCACTGGGACGGACGGGGAGGGTTCAGCCTGGCTCACCCACCAGGGGCCCGGTGGCCGGGGGGAGGGGGCATCTCGGTCGGCCTTCCTGGTTAGGTGGCCACCACGTCGGAATGGCTGCAGCTGGAGAGAATGGAGGATGGGAAGTGCTCCCTGAGAGTTCTCTGCCATTCGTTGCTTGAAACTTATCAGGATGAATGCGCTGCCAAGGTGGCACCAGCGGTCAAGAATCCACCTGCCGATGTGGGGGACCCAAGAGACGCAGGTTTGATCCCGGGGTGGGGAAGATCCCCTGGAGGAGGGCACGGCAACCCACTCCAGTATTCTGCCTGGAGAACCCCGTGGACAGAGGGGCCTGGTGGGCTACAGTCCACGGGGTCATTTAAGAGTCAGGCATGACTTAGTGACTAAACAACAACAACAAAGAATAATTAAAGNCTCCTCTGTCCATGGGATTCTCCAGTCAAGAATACTGGAGTGGGTTGCCATTTCCTTCTCCAGGGTGTCTTCCTGACCTAGGATCAAGCTCACATCTCCTGCATTGGCAGGTGGATTCTTCACCACAGACCCACCAGGGATTCTCTTTATAAGGCTATTTTTTAAGAAGCTGTTCACAACTGTATTCAACAATATTCAGTCTCTGTATTCACACGTATTCAACCTGTGTTAAATTTCTTGCCCTCACTTTTAGCTGACTGCTATCGGAGACCTCCGAACATGTAAAATCAGTACTTGTAGAGTCCATTCTGAGCCAATGGTTTTCCTCCAACGATGTGCTTCTGTTCAGAAGAAACACAGATCACACCCTTTATAATATAGATGTCTCAGGAGTTGAATTTAAGAAGATCCCTTGCTTATGACAAAGAATTGGGGGTGCAGGGTTACCACCTGGCCTTATACTTTGTTTTATAAAATTTCAGCTCCCATCTTTGGATGGACACATTGCTCAGCTTGATGGACTTCTTCAAACAGATTTGTCCAGCCTGGTCCAAAAGGTATGGTCTTTAGAGAGAAAAAAATCAAAACCAAACACAGTAGCTTATTCTAGATTATTTTCAAGAGCAGAGTAGTGCATGAGGAACTAGGAAACAGCGAAAAAGCAGAGACATTCTGGAGCCGAGTTGCCAAGAGCGGGGATGGATATCATCCTCCAGGACCGCGTGGGTGTCATGGCGGACCTTGTGCTGGTTCTCACGCAGGCGCTCTCCCACTCTGCCAGGGAGTCAGCCACGCGGTGCCTCTCCTCACTTCTGCTCATGTGCAGGCTGTGTGCTCTGCCTGCCACTTCCTCTTTTCTTCTTGGGCTTCTTGGGCTACCAGTAGCTACCTGAAGTTTTATATTTCACCTTCTTAATGAGGCCTTTCCTGGGCATCTTGACCAGATCAGAACCCTTTTTAATATACTCTTAGAGCATCACAAATATTCTTTGTTAAGTTCCTCATCACAGTGACTATTGCTTTCCTGTCTTGGTTGTCCCACAAGACTTTAAACCCTAAAAAAAGACAGGAACCACCTTGTTCCAGAATACTGGAATTTCCACAAGAGCTGAAGAGGGAGAGAATAGCTTTATTCTCAACTCCATCTTTTAAGCGTGGACATAAAAGAAGTCATCAGCTGTCTAGCACTCATCTATGTGTGCTAACGAAGAAAGTGTCCCTTTAGACAAGTCATTAGAAACTCTCGGTCTCTGAACTCTGACGTCATCTTGTTTGTTAAATGAAGGAACGGAATCAGAAGATATGTAAATCTTTTTCTAGACGTTAACCCTCTTGTGATGGTTGACCTCCCCAAGTCCAAACACAGATAAATGTAGAGGGGTCAGGTGTACCAAAGCCACTACAAGTACCAGTGTGCTGGGTGGCTTAGCTGCTTTGGAGGAAACACAAGTCATGAACTTCCTTTTTATGACATCAATGTTGCTAAGCTAAAGTGGGAACTTGTTGTCACCATAAATCTTATAAAGTTTGTAACTTAGATTGTTGTTGTTGAGTCAGTAAGTCATGTCTGACTTTTTCCCACCCCAGGGACTGTAGCATGCCAGGCTCCTCTGTCCTAGGGATATCCCAGGCAGGAATACTGGAGTTGTCATTTCCTTCTCCTGGGGATCTTCCTGACCCAGGAATGGACCCCACGTCTCTTATGTTTCCTGCATTGGCAGGTGGGTTCTTTACCACTGAGCCACCTGAGAAGCCTGGACTTCTGTAAGAGAATATCATAGACCAGGTGGTTTATAAACAGTGGAAATGTGTTTCTGACCAGTTCTGTGGCTGAAAGTCAAAGATCAGGTTGCCAGCCTGGTTGGGTTCAGATGAGGGAGACCTCTTCTAGGTTGCAGACAGGCATTTTCACATTGTATCCTCACTAAGTAGAGAGAGCTCTCTGGGGTCCCCTTTAACAGGGCACTAATCCTGTTCATGAAGGCTCCACTCTCATGAGATAATCACGTCCCAAAGACCCCATCTCCAAATTCCGTCACTTTGGGGGTCAAGATTTCAACATACACATTCCAGGGAGATAGACATTCAGTTCATAAGAGGTTGTAATCACTACAGTGTTCCCTAACAGATGTCTAAATACACCAGCAGACAGTTAAGAAACACAAACTAAACCCCTTCTAGACAGAAATCTGGCTCTTTAGGTAAGTTGCTTGCAAATAATGACATTGTCCTTTCATGGATTTAGCCCAAGAGTGACAGAGCTTGGCATGGCTGCTTTGAGTTTCATTTGAGCCTCACTACAGTTTGTATTCTTTCTAAGTTGTGTTTTAGGACCTTACTATTCTCCCTGAGACTAGATCTCCAATGTTATCATGCAATTGCTTTGGAAAATAAGATTCTGTTTTTAGAGTTTCACTTAATAGCTACACGTGGAACATTGTACAGATCAGAGTTTCTTAACCTCAGGGCACTTGGACTGGTCCTATACACTGTCAAGTATTTATTAGCATCCCTGGCTGATGCCCGCAAATGGCAAGGACATTATCAGTTGTGATAACCAGAACATCTCCAGACATTGCCAGATATCTCCTAGGGGACAAAGTTGTTCTTAACTGAGAAACACTGGGATAAATACATGGAAATGTTTAACATGAACTGAAAATTAAAAACTTTTAATGTGATCTTCCATGGATACAATTTAAAGCAAGTCTTCTCTAAAGGGGAATATTTTTTTTTAGAGTTTTAATGACCATGTCATGATAATTTCAGCCTTAAGATGAAGGTTACAGTTGAATTTTGCTTCTCTGTTCCATTCTAAGCTGAACATGAATACTATGAAATGCTCTTCTACTTACTCTCTATAATGATTTTATTTGAACCTTCTTTAGGCCAACGACTCTCTTTCTGACATACCTGAGGAAGTGAAAAATCAAACCAGAGACTTCATATCAGGTGAGATTGCCCGTTAGAAGTAATTGTGTGTGCCTCCTTGTTAAGAGTTGGCTGGTTAGCACAAAGAACTGCATTATTAAGAATTGTTCTTTTTCCCTCTTAAAAAAAAAAAAAATTCTCTCACTAAAATCCCAAACTACAAAACTAAATAATGAATATTTCAATAATGCTACCTTCACCAAATGATATCAATTAAAAAAAAATAATACTCCTATTAAACACGGATTAACATCCTCCTGTGAGTGGAAGCTGCAGGGCTGAGGGTCAGACTGTGATGATAACCTGGCAGGTGCTATAAGAACCAACAACAGGCATAGCTTATGATCTGGAAGGTCACACTTGGGTTGTTTTCACTGTAAATTTATTTCCTAAAAGAGCTTAAAATTTATTTTTTAAGGAACACTGTCTAGGGACTTATTTTGTGTCTTCAGGAAAACTTTGGTCTGCTTCTGAGGCTGATGTCATGTTGCTCTAGGGAGGCTGACTGTTGGGTCAGCTGTTGTAGGGTCTTAAGGTCATTACACTTTTGGAGAGGCAGAAGTGATGTCAAGAGAATCCCACTGATCTCAAGCGACCACGTCACACTGAATTCAGGTGGTGGTACACAGGGTGAAGGCACAGAGAAAGAACACAGTATAACAATTCTTTGTGCAAGAGTGTGGGGTCCCCTGGGCTGTTTGCTAAGGGCACACATCTCTGAAGCTGTGTAAGGCTGTCTCCTCTCTTTCTTTAAATCATCTTCTAGTGCTGCTTTTTATCTGTTGATGGTGAAGTGAAAGTCGCTCCGTCGTGTCCGACTCTTTGCAACCCCGTGGACTATACTATCCAGGGAATTCTCCAGGCCAGAATATTGGAGTGGGTAGCCTTTCCCTTACTCCAGGGGATCTTCCCAACCCAGGGATCGAANCTGCAGCTGGCTTCTGTCACCCTCTGGGAACCTGGTGAGGTGTGTGCAAGGGACCCAGTGGCCAGAGAGAACAGCGGAAGACGTCAGGAAGCAACGTCCGAACTGAAGCCGGAAGAAGGTACTTGCCGAGAGGGCGGCAGCTGCGTACAGTCACCGCGGCTGCGCAGTGTGGGGAGGAACCCAGCCCGAGAAGCGGAAGGGGCCCGATTCGGAGGCGAGGAAACTGCGCTTCGGGGAGCGGGTATCTGTATGACACGTGTAGCAACCCCCAGAAATCTCAGGGTGGATAAAGAGCCCTGGAGGACTTGGCTGGCGGCATAGTGGATAACAGTCAGCCTGCCAGTATCGGGTCCTGGCCCTGCAAGAGCCCCAAACCAGAGCGCCCTGGGCTCGCGAGCCAGTTACTGAGCCTCAGTGCTGCAGCCGCTGAAGCCTGTGTGCCGCTGCTCGGCGACGAGAGACGCCACCGTGACGAGGAGCCCGCAGACTTCAGCGAGGAGTAGCCCCCGTTCAACTGAGGACGCCCGCGCAAAGCAACGAGGACCCAAGACGACCAAAAGTAAACACACTAATCAGTTTAAAAAAGAGACCTGCAGAGTCTCCAGGTGGAGGGTCCTGGGGTCTCTGGGCATGAGTCATGTGGAGATGTCCACCCACTGTGACTCTTAGGAGTTCCTGAGGATTCACACGGAGGTGAACCGCACAATTTCCAAAAAAAAAAATTTCCCACCAGTGTGATGTCATTTCCTTTCGGACTGTGCTCCCAGCTCCCGGAAGTTCACCGGGAGCCCTGGATCGCATCCTGAGACCTGCCAGCCTTGGTTCCGCTGCCGCAGAGACGTGTATCTGCCCTTTAGAATCAGCAGACCTTGACCAATGAGTATGCTTCTGGGCTGTCCCCGCGTCAAGAATCACTGTGGATGAGGCCCCCTTCAGGTCTTAGTGAGTGGTGATGGTCCCCACCTGCTGACTTTGATCCCAGGGCCTGCCCTGATGATCACACACATTCCAGAATGCTGCAACATAACCTCCCTGAGAGATGAGGATACATGCTAATAGAAACTGACTGCTGGGAATAGTACTGCTTTTTGCATATAGGAGACACAGGTAGACTTAAGCAAGATTCAGTTTGTATGAGTCAAATGCAATTTTAACAAAAATGTCACCTGAGGTCACATGTTCAAAAAATTGTTCCTGGAGAATTACTGTGTTCCTCAGTGCTGTTTTGTAGATGAAGGGATTCTTTTGTTATTAAATAGTTGGGGTTTTTTTTGCAAAATCACTTAACAGAAGCTTTACAGGTAGGTGAACCTGAGTTTTTAATCCCATTTCTAGTACTTTCTGAAAAACAGACATATGGTCAAGTGATTTAACCCCTATGAGTCCAGCATCCCAGTTAGTGAAGTGGGAATGAGAAATGAGTTAACATTTATAAAAATGCCTTCTCTATTGTAGGCACACAGTACAGTTTAGTCACTTGGTCCATTTTGCTTTTCTTTTTTTAGTGAAATAAGTAGAAGAAAACTCTGGCTTGATTTCACGCCATGTCATTTAAGTCAGTTCTCATAGCTTGCTCTTTTGTTAAACAATTGCTTTTCAATAGACTTGGCTGCATTCATGCTTGTTGTAGAATCTTCTCATATTTTAAACATCTGCATAACATGGGAAGAACTAAAAGTGGTTCAAGCTTTTCAGTTGAGTTCCAAAACTAAGTGTCTTGTCTTCTCTATGAAAATGCATAACTGAGGCATCTTTGTTTTCAGAGTTTAAAAAGACCTTGAATTCCATTCACTCTGATGTCAAAAATGTAAGCACAAAGATTCCTATTCAGAAGACACTGTCGAATTTCGTCCGTTACATTAATAACTCTGAAGATTATATCCTCCACTATTTACCCACTGTGGAAAAATGCAATTCATACAGGTCAGTGCCCTCTTTGAGCAGTGCCACCATGAGCGTGCAACTTGCTGGGGAGGGGGGTGAAAATCTGACGATATAACCAGGATAATCTTAAGACAGCAAATTGTCCAAAGAGGCCATAAGGTGATGTGTGTTCACCGTAGTTTAAGTTCATTTAGAAAGTTGAAGTGTTCACTTCAGCAGCACGTATACTAAAATTGAAACTCTGCTAAGAAGACTAGCATGGCCACTGTGAAAGGATGACATGAAAATTCATGAAGCATTACATACGTGTGTGTATATATGTATGTGTGTGTATGTGTGTGTGTGTGTGTGTGTATATATATATATATATTGAAGACTGGAAGTTCTTGAGCCAAATAGTCAATTATTTGCAATTTTGATGGCTTCCACAGTCTTGGTTGTAATTATCTAAGGTATATAACAAGATTTTACAATTTAAAAGAAATTAGAAAGAGCATTCAGATAATATTTTTCTCTTTATGCATAAATAAAATAAATCCATAGAGGCTGGTTCTTACGGAAAAGAGCATCCTTGAAACCAGTGGCTTGTCTGAAGCTGCTGTGGATCCCTGCTGTCTGTCCTTTAGAAAAGCATTAAGGGTAGGCTGGGGTCCTGGGAGATGCTGGTGGGCGTGTATCTTAGACAAGAGCTCAGGGGAGGACAGGACAGGAGAGACTCACGGGATCTCCAGGATCACATGAGAAGCAAGACGGGATCTCTTCTCTGAAAGGCTCAGCCCCACGACCACTCCTGGAACTCTTCCAGCCATCCAAACCCAGGAGATTGCAGAGACCACCATCCCTACTTGTGTTCCTTATTATGCAGGAGCACAAGATAAATAGCGAGACAATAACAGTACTTGCTAGCCTTCAGGCAACAGTCGAAGTGTGCCCACCACGAGCCGTCCATGTGGCATCTCACAGAAACCCCTCAGGTTGTGTTGTGTTTATAACCCTGTTTTGTTGAGACTCAGGGACGTGAAGTGACTTACGCAAGACTGAGGACAACATGGCAAAGGTAGGTTTTCAACTCCTACCTGACTATGCCCTCACTTATCACTGTGTCTCAGCCAGCCTTTTCCTACCATGCGGCTTGGCCACCCCAGCAGGTGTCAGAACAAACAAAAGAGAGTGAAGTCACTCGGTC